ATTTTTACTCAAGCTATTTTTACTAAAGCAGGGACGGACTAACAGACAATCACTTATATATGTATATATTATATATTTATATATATGTATATATTATATATTTATATATATGTATATATTATATATTTATATATATGTATATAACCCTATATATATCTTCCTTAGTAGCAACTCGTTGCAAGAATATAAAAATAATCGAGAAAGATGGTTCCTTTGAAGAAAATATTTAAAATTTTCACTTTTATGTCTCTGGCCACACCTAACCCCATAACCAAAATTAAAAATAAAAAAAATTTGAAAAATCTCAACAAAAATGAAACCACTCTTTTCATTTTAACATTAAAATAACCAAATTTATTAAAATATAATTTTTCAAAAGGCAAATTTACCTCTTTTACAATATTGATTACATTATTTTGTGTGTGTGTGCGTTTTGTTTGCAGCAAAAGTACAAATTTTTCGGAATAATTGCTTTATGTTAAAAATAAGTATTACGAAACTTAAATAGTGGTTCTGGTAAAAATTTACATATGTACATACATGCATATCGTCACTTAAAATGCAAAGTAACTTAACGTAACTTTTCATAAGTTAACAGACGAAGGAAAAACCACTAATATTGAACAAATTTTAGTTTTAGTTATAAAGTAGTTATATGTATGTGTAAGCAGAGGCGAAAATTTTATTCTACATAAGTGTATGTAATATGATTTTTTGATGAAACGTTGTTTTGTACATACACTCGTGGCCACGCAAACCTTACCACTAAAAATTTTCAAGTGTTGTGTGTATTTGACAACACTTTATGGCGGCACTTTTTGCGGTATAAAAACTTTTTATTTAGAAATAAGTTAATGACATGTTATATATCAAAAATATATATTAAAAATTGAAACCAAAACAACTATGGACAAAATCATTTGAAAGTTAGTGAGCTTTACAAAATGAGCTCGAAATGTATGAGACTGACAGGCGATGAAAAAATTTAATTTTTTAAGGTTTTAAATTAATTTCATTTACACTATATTTGAAATTAAGCCTTAAATTTGTACCAAAGAAATTTCTTTGTTATTCATGTACAATCCCTTGTATAAAATGTATGTATACCACAGCCGGATCCTCTAGTTAGATTACATAATTAAGTTTATTTGTGCCTAACAAAAACCTTAACAAACCAAACTAAAAAATTCCGAACGAACGAAAAATTCTAAACAAAAATTTTAAGAAGGTATAAAGGTAAGATTTGCGTGGCCACGAGTGTATTTCTATTTTTTTTCTATTTTTTATGGATATTTGTTTTTTCTTTTTAATTATAAAAACAAAACTTGACATTAATGTATTAAATATTATTTTTTTATTATTGTGATAATAATTATTTATAACTTTGTATTAAACTAATTGTAGCGGCATTACTGCCGGTAACTGGCTAGTCAAAAGTTTTCAGGAATCCATGTACCTTCTCGCTACTGTCGGCTCTACCTAACCAGAAGAGTGCCGGATTTTTATCCATCCAAAGACTGTCAACTCAGCAGCATTTTTCTAAATTATTTCAGGAAAGTTTTCTGCCCCTATAACAATAAAAACAACAGGAATTCGCGGTTTTCGGCTTGTCACGGCAGTTTCATTGAATTTGTAAAGAATGTGCTCTCGAAAAAATTGCTTTTGGTAGTAGTCCTGTGAAGGATGGTGCCACGTGTTCTGTGAGCGCCATTCACTCGGCAGTAACCAGAAACGATTATTTTATACATGGCACAAGCAGCTCACGACCTTTGGTCTTTGACCAGTTACCCTTTGGGCCGCCAAAACAACATTTGAAGGCGAGCTAAAGTGAGAAGGCGAACCGTTCCTCCCCAGCGTTGTCTGCTGAATTGGGACCCACAACGTTAAAAGCCTCCAATGAAAAACTCAAGACAGCCTCGGATAAAGAAGTAGTCCTGTGTAGTTGCTTGCTGTTGTGAAAGACAAAATGTTAAAGTGCATTAATTTGCTCTAAAATGAAGTTGAAAAGTAATATTTCGATTAAGAGTTCAATTTCGATTCGATTTCACAGTCGAAACTCTGAAAATATATAATTATTATGATTGTATATTAAATTGTTAATATGTTAATTGCTAAAAAAAAGGATTCATAATTTATAGAAAAGACTCTGAAAATAAAGTTATTTGAAGTTTTAGTGATTATAGTGTTTTCCAGCAACAACGGGCCCCATTCTTGTAAAATCGCTACTGCAAAGAAAATTAAAAATCTTTTATACACATACATACATACATGTACATATGTATGTGCCCTTATTTGCTGAAAAGTAGATTATTACTGTATGTTTGTGTTAGTGTAATGCTGTAAGGAAATTAAGCGTTAACAGTTCAATTGGCTGAAAAGCGAAAATTTTATTATTGTTATTGCTGAAATTGAAATGCTTTAAATGCTACAAAGTAACGGGAATTAGATTTTAATTAAGAAAAAAAGAAATTATATTAGGCAGGTGCAGGCGCCGCCATATCCAATACAATCTAATCTAAACCAATCCACCGGCGATCCAATCCAATTCGAACCAAACCAAATCAACAACGTTGACGACAGCAACAACAACTCTGCAAATAGACTTAAATACTCCGCTGGGGGCAGAAACGTGTAGCATGAAACGCACACACATACGTAAATAAAAGCGTAAAACTAATAGTGTACATAATATATTTATAGACATATGTACATATATATAAGAATAAAAATAGAAAAGCGTGGAAATCGTACAGAGAATTGGCGGAAAATGGCCAACAACTGCCAAAGCTGCTGCTGCCACCATTGGCAAACGTTACCAACTAGCAGCGCACTTGAATTCCGCATTTATAAATATGTATGTGTATGTGTATTTATTTTAAAGCATGCCAGTGGGTGGTGTTGGCTTGGTTGCGCCTGAGCTGCGCCTACTCAATACAAATATATAGGTATACACTATAAAGCATACAGATACACATTAGGGTGTGCAAAAAAAAATTTTCGCTGGATACTCTGAAAAATAGGTTCTCAGACAGGGTAAGTCTCAATATAATTGTATATATTTCAAAGCACACAAAAACACATTAGGGTGGGTAAAAACAAATCGATTGATTCTCCGAAAAATAGGTCCTTGGACACCCCTAAGTAAGTCTCAATATATATGTATACACATTAGGATGGGTAAAAAAAAACATACACATTAGGGTGGACAAAGAAAATTTTTTTTCGCTTTGTGCTCTGGAAAAAAAGGTGCATTGCAATTTTGTTGTAAACCTCACTGTTTAAAAGATACTAACGGTTGGATTATTTTAATTTTTTTCCCTTATGTATTTTCTAATTCACTGAGCAAAAAATAGCATGATAGTTTTTTTTGAATTTCAAAAAAAAAATTCTTATAAATTGTGTAGCTCAGTGAAAAAAAAATATGATAGTTTTGTTTTGTTGAAAAAAATGTCAGGTTTGTGTTGTTTAAAAAAAATATAATGATAATTTTGTTGAATTTTGATTATTTTAAGGCAAATTTTTTATAAATTCTTAATTCAGTGAAAAAACTATCACGATAATTTTCTTGAAAAAAAAACAATATAATCATGATAGTTTTAGCAGAAATTTATTGCTCAACAAAAAACGGTTTTTATGGCGTGCCTTGCTTAGAGGTGTTTTTTTTATCCACCCTAATACACATAGGCTATATATGGCTATGACGGAAGCGGGTGCTTGTACGGTGGCGGGATCGCCACCATGGTGTGAAGAGAAAATGAAGTGGCGGTGCGACGCATTAGTTGTTGCTGGCACATCCTAAGCCGAAAAGGTGAGCGCCAGCACGGGTGGCAGGCAACGGCAGTCACTTCGCCACTTCAACGCTCCGGCCAACTGCAATTTGCGGCGTAGCAGTGCAAATGGATTTGAAAATTGGGTTAATTGATGCTTAGAGGCACTGTTTGGCTGAATGGGACCGGGTTGCTGCCGCCGCTGCTCGTGCTGGTGGTGGTGGCGTGGCGCTATTGCTTTCAGGTAATGCTGAGAAGTCGGTTGCGGGTGCTTACTGTGGCAAAGGAAATGGTATAAAATGCGCTAGTGTGACAGGGGCGCGCTAAAAATGCAGGTGTACAACGACAAAAGTGAAAAAAAAATGGAGGAGAAAGAAAAAAGATGTGAAAACAACAAGAAATCAATGCGAATAGCAGCAACGCAAAGAAGTAGAAAAATAAATGGAAACGAAAATGAAAATGCCGAGTGTCGACGCAATAAAAACTATTAAAGTTCAGGCGCTTGCTTACATAATACACAATATACATAGGTAAGTATGTGTGTGTGCGTTGGGTAAAGGACATGATGACAAACGGTGCGACAATGATTCCCGGCCGCGCATAAGTGAATTGGCCACTGAACTTTGACGGCGTTTATGCGAGTGTGATACACACACATACACGCATATATCATACACACAAATACATAGATATGTACATAAATGTATGTATGTATGTCTCTGCACTTGTATGGTGTAGTCATTCACGTGGTTACCCCACTTTCGGGGCTGCTTTTGGCGTAAATGAATAATTGCTGAACAGGAAATTGTGCCTCAAGACGTGGTATATTGTTCAATCGGGGCAATGTGGGAGCACATAGTTGGAGTAATTTAAGTAACACTTTCTGCATTTTCTGGTAACTGAAATTAAGTCGCGAAAGCATGCAACGCGGGAAGAAATATGCGGCGTCGGATCAGAAGCCATTATGCATATTCGACTCTATAATGAGTTCAGTTTTCATCAATTGTGTAAGTTTTATACGTTTTCAAAAAACATACATATATGAAAAATTATTAACTTTTGTGCGTGGAAGCTACAGAAAATACAAACGATTCCATACAAGAATTTAATTTTGATCAGTCAGTTCGTATGGCAGCTATATGCCATAGTGATCCTATTTGAATAATTTCTTCAGATATTGTAGCGTTGTCTTGGATAATAATGCGTTTAAAATTTCAAGAAGATATCTCATCAAATAAAAAAGTTTTCCATATAAGGTCTGTATTTTTATAGATGGGTTTGTATGGCAGCTTTATGCTATAGTGGTATGATCTAAACAAACTTTTCTATGATTGTAGCATTGCGTAGGATAACAATAAATGTCAAATTTGATAAAGATATTTCGACAAATAAAACAGGTTTTCATACAAGTTCTGGATTTTGATAGGTAGGTTTGTATGGCAGCTACACGCTATAGTATTCCGATCCGAACAATTTCTTCGGAGATTTATGCTTTGCTTTGGATAATCATCTATGTCAAATTTCATGGAAATAACTTGTCAATTAAAAAAGTTTGCCATACAAGGTGTCGAATTGATAGATGAGATTGTATGGCAGCTACAAGATAAAGTAGCCGGATCTGAACAATTTGTTCGGAGATGTTAGCAATGTCTTGAACATAACTTCATAACAAATTTGGAGAAAATATCCTGTCAAATAAAAAACTTTTCCATACAAGAACTAAACATTGATCGGTCAGTTTGTATGGTAGCTATATGCTGTAGTGTGCCGATAACGGCGGTTCCGACTAATAAGTAGCTTAGGGAGAAAAGAACGTATGCAAAATTTTAGATCGATATCTCAAAAACTGTAGGACTAGTTTCCGTGTACACAGAAGACCGAAGGGACAGATTGTAGACAGACTAGAATGGCCAAATCAGCTGAGCTCGTCACGCTGATCATTTATGATATGCATATTTCATATACATATGTATATATTATGGGTTTTCCGATGCTTTCTACTGCGAGGTAGTATTATGGAGCATAGATCCAAAAGGCTTATACTTTTAGTCGAAACCCGAAAATGCAAGGATGGCAGCAGCAGCAAATTTTTTAAGATTTCTTGGCTTATAAAATACTTACGAACTACTATAAGATAAGTGTAATAATTAAATACTATAAATAGTCATCGAATACCCACCGGGACTACCCAAATCTGTGATGTTGGCATTGGCCGTATCCACACCGACAGCAATGCCACGCACGCTGGGCGCTGCTCGCAGCAACAACAGCATGCATATCGATAAGCTGAAGGCGCGACAAATGTTCCAGCCGGCGCCCAACGCCGCCGCAACGCACGAGCTTGAGGCCGCCGAACTGCAGTAAGCGATAAAGGCAGCATCGTGGCGTCGCCGTCGTCGTCGGTGTAGTGTGGGACTGCATGAATTGGACGCTGTCGCGGTTATGGGCGCGGATGCGGGCGTTAATGACGTAATTGAATTACTGCTGCAGCTGCTGCTGCAATGGTCCTCTAAACGCTGTGCGTCATGTTTGTTGCTATTGTAACTAAAGCTCGAATCGCTGCTGCTTTGCACGTTGTTGAGCGCTTTCGCTCTGCGGTACTTCTTATAGCTACTGCTGCTGCGCTGCTTTGCCGCCAATGCGGACGACGCCGCACCATGCGCGCTGATCGTCGTGCTGGCTGCGCTTGGCCAACTACAGTTGCAGTCGGCGTCGCTGCCAATGCTGTGTGCGCTTCCACAAATGTATTTGTTGTTACACGTGTTGTTGTTGTTGCTCTTGCTGGCGCTGCTGCTGCTGATGCTGGCGTGGCACATCATTTTCCATTGAATTTATGTGGCTCTGGCGTGGAGACAACAACAAGCGCGCTCTTGTGTTGTTGTTGTTGTAGCTGAGTTTTGGCTGCTGCTGGCTCCGCTGCGTCCACAAGCGTATTTCTTGTATGCTTTTTTAGCTGCCTTTTGTATGTATTGCTGTTGTTGTTGTTGTTGTGCTGTTGAGTAAAATTTTGAGAGCAAATCATCGTTTGCAGCGCCCAAGCGTTATACAATTCTATTTGTTTTTACTAAAAATATTTTGCATATTTTCCAATATAATTATTTTCACTGCTCATTTACATTTGATCCAAGCTAAGCTGCACTGCACTGCTTGCGCTGGAAGGCGTCGCACCACACGGCGCGCTCGTCTAACAACTCGCGTACGCGCTCTGGAACAGCGGGTGGTATTGCCGTATTGCCGAGGCCAACCTACTGTTATGTTGCTATTAAAGTCGGCGGATTGGCATATATGGGCGTGGCAGTGTGCGTCGAAATGCTTGCGCCTTTACCCGTTGCGTCGCTTGCTACGCGTTCCTATGGAGTCGGCGGTTTTTATTTTTACACACTCGAACTACACGAACCCTTTATAGGCTGGCCGCTGCGCTTTGTAAATAAACAACAACACAATTGTATGCGCTCTTGATCTACTTGCAACAAAGTGTACTGCTTCGCTTTGTGCGCGCCTCCTACTCGTAAAGCTGTCAATTTACCGCTGCGTCGGTTTTGATGCGCGCGCTTGCGTTTGGTATCTTTCACTCAGTTGTCTCGACAGTTTATATAGAAATTTATTACTTGTTTCCAAATTTACTGAGCGCTAGGCGTTGTTGTTTTTGTTGCGCGCTGTCTGCTGTCAATGCTGGGAACGTCTTTCCAATGCGCCTTCGTTGTGTGACAAACCGAACTGACTGACAGACTGACTGTCAGATTGCCCGCTTGTCTAACTGTAAGTGTGACGTCTGTGCTGCAATAAAAGCTTGATTGTCTGCACTTTATCTGACTGACTGACTGACTGACTGACTGACTGTCTGTCTGTCTGTCTAACTGGTCTCTCCGACTAAGCGCGTGTTCGACTCTGAAATTGCGACTCCTCGTTCGATTGCGTGTGTGACACTGCCGTACGCCTTGTAAGTGTCTATCGAACGCAGGCTGACAACTCGACTGACTGCCGTCCGTTCTGTCTACGCTACGATTGTCAATAAGCATGCACTGAGCACACACAGACAGTCTAATATCGTCGACTACAAATGTTAAACAAATCGTCGTTTATTAGCGCATTTGTAGGGGAGCACAATCACTCAGGTCAGTTGCACTCGTTGTATTATATGTCTTCAATTTGCTGCTTATTTGTTGTTGTTGTTATTCACTTTAGTTTACTTGCTACTTGTAGACATGTTTAACTTTTTATTTATGTTTGTATATTTTCTTTATTTTTTTATTATTATTTTTTTTTAAATATTTTTTATCACTTTACTTTCAGTTTGTTCTTTTGTTTTTGCTTATTATTTACAAAGTTCCACATGCATATTTGACTGTACAGCTGCCGCTGGAATTTGTCTTTGTGATATTTTTTATTTTCATGTGTATTTATCAACGCCTTGCCGCACTGCACACTCAGCTCAATGGCACTTCGCTTTTTGGCACTGAAATATATAACAGTAAATTTGTATTCGGCTGATTGCCTCCTCACAATACACTGCGCGTCATTGGGTCAGCACATTTCACATTTAAATAGTTTTGTTGCATTTCTATCGAAACTAAAGCAGCTACAGTTATAAAATTTATAAAGATTATTCTACTAAATACAACAACAATTATCTATTTTTTTTACATTTCCGAAATCAACAAAAATAAATAATAATATTGACTATTTTATACATTTTAATAATGAGCCGCTGCCGGTATCAAATCAAGTCAAAAATATCAAATATCCGATTGGATAGCGATTTGTACAATTTTATAATATAATTTAAAGCATAGTTCGGTGTGTACAGGCAGTTGAATAAGCGCCGACTACATGATTCCACTTTTCAACTGGGAAAGAAGGTCCAAAATAAACTTAGAAAAAGATGGTTGGCATTAGATACGTTATGTTAGCTACCCGAAACACTCCAAACATCTATAGTGATGGCTCGAATTTGGAAAATGGGGTTGGTCTGGAAATATACTGTCCAGAATTAGGCATAAGACAGCCTTCAAGTTAGCGAACCACTGCTGTACATTTCAAGCTGAGATCTTTGCTATTGCGAAAGCGTCGGAGTTGGCCTCTAATGCATCTGTGGAAAGAGTTGCCAGAAGCAAGTAAATTCACGTCTACTACTGTGTGCCAGGCCACAAAGGCTTCAAGAATGGTGTGCGGCTAACATACAAAAATGTAATCAACGTTGCAAAACCCATGCATTGACTAAACGAAGATCTAGACAGAAGCATCCAAGCCCGACGGAACACGCTACCTGGGTGTAAAACTGCAAAACTAATGTGCAAAACGGTAGATCGGAAGCACACAAAATTCCTATTGTCATTGACTGTATGAGCATGATTGGAATATTTACTGGTCACTGTAAGGTGGCAACACACGTCCGCAGAATGGAGCTGACAGATCGAGAAGACTGCCGGAAATGTCCAGAGCAAGGCACCAGGGAAACCATGGAGGATCACTTGTGCACTTGTCCCACATTGGCAAGAATACGCTGTAAGCAAATGGATTCTCCACGGTATGATACACTGGAAGAGGTATCGACAGTGAGACTTTAGAGTCTGTAGAAATTCGCGTCAAATGCAGGCATATTAAAGGATCTGCCGTTTAAAAATACATTTTTGAATAAATAAGCCATGGTTTTATAAAAAGCTTGGGGATGGTCGGTGAAACTATTTACTATTTACCGGCAAGTGCTCTCTATTAACCCAGCTTCAGACTACCTGACTATTGCAGTGGTTTTCAAGCCGAGGTTACAGCCACCTTCAGAGAAGTGACCAACCACTTAGTTAGCAGTGTGGCGATACTAGCCTTAAACACATTAACAGCGCATTCAGGGTTGGTTAAGTAGTTCCTAATCTCACTATCAATAGAATCGAGTATCTTTATGATAATATTGGTATGGGTACCAGGCCACAGCGAAATCCTAGGCAATTGTAAAGCTGATGAGGTAGCAAGGAAAGCAACCCTAGAACCGCTATCAGTAGAATGGGAGCGGGTCCGTGCTTCCGTATCCTATTGTGTTCTACTACCAGATAGCGTGGCTTCGCTGGAGCTTGGTCAGCACTCTACTTCCATCTATACTGTCGCAAAATCCTTTTGGCCCAAGATCGAATTGCAAGAGATCTAGTGATCTCTTTGCCCCCAGTAAGGCTAGTCTCTCCCTAGTTGTGGGGTTTTAAGTGTTTATTGAACTATTGACGTACATGCTGTAAGGGTGCGAATCTTACTAGACGCCATCTGCAGAAGCTTGGTGGGAGAAGACGGGCTGGAAACAACTAAACACTTCCTACTTGAATGTGCCACTCTTGGGAGGTTAAAACTTAAACAATAAAGTAGCTGGAGTTATTAACAAAAAAATCAAAATGCAATTGCTTTAGGTTGATGAAGCTGTGCTAACCTAGTGTCGCGCAGTGTATGCAACTTTTGGTTTGTTTATAGCTATTGCACTTCGAGAATATATCACACGCATACACACACACAAACAAAACTTGAAAAATAAATAAATATAAACACGACTGCGTTAGTGTAACGTGCAACGTATTTGCCTACACACGTATCGAATCGATTTCTTTGCCTGCCACACTTTTCAGTTGCCACTTCTGCTGCAGCACACTATTTCGCTTTTATTGCTGCTATCACGTTGATAAAAATTTCCTACGAAATTTATTCACGCTGATAAAGCGACACTCGTGCGCGCTGCTTGCTGCCTTCCGGCGTCGCGCCGCGTCGCCTCTGCTGTTGCAAGCAATACGTTGTACACACACAAGGAAACGCTGGTGGTGAAAAAACTGAAACAATTTCGAGTGTAAGCAATCGTGTCTGCAGTTTTCGCGTCGGTTGCACGTCGCCTTTTTTGTCACTGGCAGCAACAGCAGCAGCCGCCGCAAAAAACGGCAAATATTGTGAGCGGCTGTCGTTGCTGCAACATTCCAAAGCACTGCAATACGCTGGTGTCCGTCTTCGTATTGCGTTTGCCAAGTGTCAGCAGTATGTATTTGCTGTTGTTGTGTAACTTTGTTCGCTCAGCTTGCCGCGTCGTATCTGTAATGTGAAAAAAGACAAGAAAAAAATATTAATGATTTATTTGCGCTGGCATTGATATATGCTAATGCTATTTGCCCCACAAGAAATGTAAACGCACACAAACACAGTAAGCTCACTCACTTTTCCCAACACGCCCGAGCCGCAAAGGTGCGCAGCTGCACAGAGCCAAACCTTCGAGCATTCATATATTTTTACATACGCAATCAGTCGTAGACATTCCGTAAATACGCAAGCATACAGTGACAGTCACACAAATGGAGCCGACTGAAGTCGTTGTTGTGTGATAAGCAACAGATAGGAACAAGAAGAAACGTTAACGGGTGATCAACTTCGAGATTCTTTAATTTTTTAAAGAAAAAGCATAGAAACAACCAATGTAATGGGGAACGTTAGTTGTAATTTGAAAAAACATTCTCTGACTTTCATATTTTGAAGATTATCTCTTTCAAACGTTGGCCGCGTCTACGCCTCATCCGTTGAGACCAATTTTCAATGATTTCTTTCGAGCATTTCGTCTGTTAACTTGCGAATGACACACGAGATGTTTTGTATGAATCGAGGCTGGATTGTGCGCATAGGCCCACTATAGCGGGTGATATCACACGATCTTGGCGGCCAATCGACCGACCCAAAATGTGAAATTATCTGTTCAGCGAAGTGTTTTCTCAATAAATCCTTTGAGTGATTTGGGAAGTGACGCTGTCTTGTTGAGACCAAAAGAGATCACGATCTTTGATTTCAGGCATCAAATAGTCGGTTATCATGGCGGTATAATGAACGCCATTGACAGTTACGTTCTCTCCGATAGACAGACGCATAGACAATTTTTAAAGTTCTGACGTTTGCTTTTCAGTGTTAAAAAATGGTTACAAACGTTGCCAACAGTGATGAAGCTGGCCAGAACAGACGCGCTTTTCTGGAAAAAGTAACCTGATAAAAACTCTTATATGGAGAACAGCTTTCCAGCATAAGACGTACACGGAAAATGCGAAATCAATAATTTGGTTGAGTGCCTTCTGTACTATATCACTTGATGCGGCTGATGTTGTGACCAGCTATATTGTACTTATAACTTAAAAGGGTCTTCGACAAAACTAAGTGCATATGTAGATACTTGACGACGGAAGGGCGGAAAGAGAAGTCTTAAAGAATGGCAAAAGCGCTGGGATGAGACGTCAAAAGGTAGATGGATATGACATAAGTTCATTTTTTGACATGTGAAAGCGTAGGTAGGGAGAAAACATGGTGAAACCGTTGATAAAGTCATACTCCGAACTGAACATGGCTGCTTCACAGAATACCTACACAAATATGGTCATGACGATGGATCGCATTGCTTTTTCTGCTTGCGTGCATTTTCTTCTTGTGTTCGCATTATAATAATGAAAGAACGGAGTTAGATGATCTCTGAGAAGAGCTGGTTACTTATGAAAATAGTAGAGCAACGCAACCAAGAGTAACGAGTTTTGAACGAGAAGTAGAAAGTCGACACCTAATAATCAAAAGGTTTTTGATTCTCCGACGTTTCAGTAATGTGAAGCTCCGAGGACTTTAAAATACTTAGATTCGTTTTCTCAATGTCTCGTTAGCAACCATCTATTGTTGTTGACGTTTTGTAGCGCCAGGATTCTGCCGAGTCCGGATAAAAATCCGAGTCCGTTCCGGTTACGTACACTCGACTGTGGTGGGGAACGGCGTCATTTGTCATTTAAGCTTCTGGTTAACTCTACCGCAAGAATCTGTCTCAGCTAGCCATTTCTCGAGTCTGTGAAAGCGAAAATGGCTGCTGATTTGTAGTGCGGGTTGTCGAAATGTTAAATTCGGTTGCTGCGAAACTGAAATGCCCTTCACATGTACACTTTTTGTAGCATAAAAGGGTACAAAAAGATGTTTATGTTGATTTTGATCGGCTATTATGGATGCATTGCTCTGGACAATAAATCGTGGGAAATTTCGTGAAGATAATCAATGTTCCTTCAGGCGTTCCTCAAGGTAGCCATCTTGGTCCAATTCTGTTCTTGTTATTTATTGATGACTTATCATCTGTTATTAAGTTTTCAAATGTTATAATAAAACGATGTAAAACTTTTTAAATCATTCACCTCAAATAGTGAAAGATGTCAGTTGCAAACAGACTTAAATAACCTACTTTCTTGGTGTGATAGAACTGACATGCCATTGAATCTTAAAAAATGTAAAACGATGTGCTTTTCACGTAGATCTGTAGACCCTACTTCATACG